ACCCAGGCGCTCCCAAATAAATAAAATCTTTAAAAAAAAAAAAAAATTGATAGCATACTCTGTAGAAAAACAAGTTTTTAACTTGTCAGATTTGTTTTATCACATTTTTAAAAAGCTTTATATTTCAGATAATTTTTAATCTTTTGATACCTAGTAATGCCTTCATAAAGTTCTATTTTAAAGGCATTACATTTACCAAAAAGATTTTAAGAGGCTGTGAAATTAAGAGTCTTTAGGCAAACTATGTCATCATGATTGATTTTAATTTATATGTAAGCATATAAAGGGGGTGTCAAAAATATAAAAATGTCAAATCAATTAATTATTAAATGGCCTTATTGCTTTTTATTTTTTTTGATTTGCCTAATAACTTTTGTTATAATAACTTTTATTTTTAATTATTTTAGGAATATTTTGAAAAGAAAAGGTTAAAATCAAAAATGAAATTACTGGGAGTTTCATCCCCTGTCAAAAATTCCACTGTCAGTTTAGACCTCCTTAACCTATATATGGTAAATCACATATCTTGCCAGAAGAAACCACCTGGTAAGTCTTTCCATTAGCATTTTGTTTGACTCTAATGTGATCATAACATTCAGTTTTCTAATAAATTTATAATTTTAGAACTCAGAGAATATGGAAAGTAAACTAATTTTAAAACTTGGTTTCCTTCTTAAATTAGTTACTTTTTGATTAAAGTGCCTTTGTCACTTTTTGCTTAAAATCTTTTTTTTTGCTTATTCTATTTTTAAGTTATGTTGTTATATAGAATTAATTTTATAAGGTATGGTCAAAGTTATTATATTGCAGTTGTTTTAGTTACTACATTAATCTATGTAGGCTGATAGTTACCAAAGTTTAGCTAAAAGAGCAGGGAATAAATGTCTTTACTATCTTAAAGTATTTAGAGAATTTGTTTGAAAGGAGGCACTGAAAAAGATTTTTGCCTCAATGATTAGTTTCCTGTATCACAACTTGAATGATTTCTTAGGCATTCTTGGAATGTTAACTATAGTAGTCTAATACTTCAAAATAAAGTTCATTTTGCCTGTATTTTGAGCCTTCAAGTGAATAAAAAGTTTAGTCAGAATATTTTTTTTTCTCAAGGGAACTTGTGTCTGATATTTAATTTTTAAAATAAGTACTAAAATGAGAGCTTAAGAAATAAGATAGTTCATAAAGGAAGGATAGAAATTGATCGTAAGTGCTGTTAGTATATTCTGTTTTCCTTTCTCTGCCATTTTTATTCCTTAATGCAGACGGCGGCTCACACAAGCAAATTTAGTTATACGTTAGATCTAAATATGCTCTTTATGGACTTTAGGAATAAAAGTTTTGTTGTAAATCTGTTTGATGTATTTACCTTCTTTTTCTTCACTTATGTAATATAGTGTTGTCAGCCACAGTCATGACATTTGACATTAGATCCTCATACCTTGTTCATCTTATAGCTAAAGTTTGACCTGTTACCAACCTGTATTTCCCCTATTCCCTGGTCCCCGGCCCCTGACAGCCACTTTAGTACTCCCTGTTTCTGTGAGTTTGATTTTCTTTTTTAGATTCCACATGTAAGTGATGCCATGCATTATTTGTCTTTCTCTAGCTTATTTCAGTTAACATAATGCCTTTAAGGTCCATCCAAGTGGTCATAAGTGGCAGGATTTCCTTAATGTTCATGGCTGGAGAATATTTCATCATATGTATATATCTCACCTGTTCTTTTTCCAGTCATCCATTGACAGACATGAGGTTATTTTCATATCTTATATCTAGCCCATTGTGAATGATGCTCCTGTGAACATGGGACATGGGAGTACAGATATCTCCTTATGATTCTGTTTTCATTTCCTTTGGATATATACTCAGAAATGGGACTGCTGAATTATGTAGTTTTTCTTTTAATTTTTTGAGGAACATATATTATGTTCTCCATAGTTACTCCACCCATTTGCATTCCTATCAACTGTGCACAAGGGTTCCCTTTTTCCACATCCTTCCCAACACTTGTTATCTCTTGCCTTTTTGATGATAGTCATTCTAACAGGTGTGAGGTGATATCTCATTGTGGTTTTGATTTGTATTTCCCTGAAAATTAGTGATGGGCACCTTTTCATATGTCTGTTGGCCATTTGTATGTTTTCTTTGGAAAAATGTCTGTCCATTTCCACTGCCCATTTACAAAATTAGATTGTTCATTTTTTGCTAAGAGTTGTATGAGTTCGTTATATATTTTGCAGTTTGAACCCTTATCAGGTATATGGTTTGCAAATATTTTCTCCCATTCCATAGTTTGTCTTTTCATTTGGGTAATGATTTTCTTTGCTGTGTAGAAGATTTTTAGTTTGATGTAGTTCCCCATGTTTGTTTTTGCTTTTGTTGCCTTTGCTTTTGGTGTCAAATCCAAAAAATCATTGCCTAGACTGATGCCAAGGAACTTACCCCTTATGTTTTCTTCTAGTTTTATGGTTTTAGGTCTTATATTCAACTCTTTAATCCATTTTGAGTTGAATTTTGTGTATGTTGTAAGATAGGGGACCAATTTCACTCTTTTTCATGAGGCTGTCAATGATGTATTTGCCTTTATATATTTCCTTTCTTCCTCACTTTCTTTTCATTTATACGTTCAACATGTTTATTGAGTACCTCCATTATTGAGTACTTCCATTAAGTAGTGTATTGGATGCTGAGAATAGAATAGAAAATGATGGGGTCAGGACACACTGTCCCAAAAATAAAGCATGTTGGCATACTAAAGATTTTAAGCTGAAGGAATTTGAGAAGCAGCATGTGCAGGAAGGATCCTCATGTGAGAAGTGTCCTCCCTATACCTGGAGGAAAGGAACATCTTTATCTCCAAGACAGAGGGACACTGAGAAGAATCTAAACAAATAAGCCTTGCTGTTCCCTCCTGTTGGCTAGATTTAGTTCATACCCTTTTTTGTTCGATCACATTTTCCCACTACTTTTCATTCTCCATCAAACCTAGCATAAAAATGCTCAGGTTTAACCACTTCTTTGGGTCTCCATTTCCTTATAAAGTTTTCCATTTAAAATTTATACTAAATAAATTGGTATGTTTTTTCTCTCATTAATCTGTCTTTTGTTATAGAGTTCCTAGCTGAGAATTTAGAAAAAGCATAAGTTTATTAGTGATGGTATTAGGAGACGGGACCTTTAGGAGGTGGTTAGGTCATGATGGTGGAACCTTCATGAATGGAGTTAGTGCTTTTATAAAGAGACCCCAGAGAGCTCTCTTTGCTCCTTTCACTGTGTGAGGACACAGGGAGAAGACAGCTCTCTGTGAACCAGGACTCAGGCTCTCACCAGAACCTGAGTCTGAGAGCGCTTTGATCTTGGACTGCCTGGCTGAGAAATAAATTTCTGTTGTTTTAACTACCCAGTCTATGGTATTATGTTAGAGCAGCCTGAATGGACTAAGACATTTTACTAAAAGGAAGGGCAGTGGTGCAGCTGGGCCTCAGAGACTGCTTGAACCAGGGACTTGCATACCACCAAGATTTTTTTCTCACTTTAGATATTAACTTTATTCTCTCAGATTGTCTTTTTCATTCAGGCTTAAAACATGACCTTAAAAAATTAATATTGCTCATCTCTCCTGTTTTGCCACAAGGGAAACACTGAGAGTTGTTTCTTTTGTTCTGAGTTTTTAAATTTTACTGGAAGTATGTTACCTTGCCCTACTGGTGCCAGGTCCTAGCAATGGAACAATTATTTATAACCACAGAGATGTGATTCTATTATTGGTTCATCTTGGGTCAGATGGTTCCCCTTAAGTCAATTATTTTTTCTAGAGACAGGGTTTTATAAGAAGATAGGAAGTTCTCTAGTAGAACTGTATAGTTGGGGCACCTCGGTGGCTCAGCTGGTTAAGCATCCAACTCTTGGTTTCAGCTCAGGTCATGATCCTGTGGTCATGGGATCAAGCTCCACACCAGGCTCTGTGCTCATTGCAAAGTCTACTTAGAGTCTCTCTCCCTCTCCTTCCTGCTCTCTCTCTCTCCCGCTCGCTCTCAAATAAAAAAATAAATAAATAAATAAATAAATAACTTTTAAAAAAGCACAGAAGAGCCCCTGTGTAGTTGGTATGTGTGTAAAAAAGCATACCCAGAAAAGGAGAGTGGTTAAAAAGTACTGAGCAGACCAAATAGTGATATCTTGTATAAGGAGAGAAAAGGCTTCTGTTTCCATAAAGTTTAAAGATCTAGTAAGAGAGATAGAATTAATCAGGTACAATAAACCATGGTAAGTGCTATAATAGAGAACATATGTAGTGCTATGGGCATGTATAACATAGCATCTGGTATAGTCTGGGGGGTCAAGGAAATCTTAGAGGAAGAAAAAAATAGAACTGAATCAGTATAGCCCCTTTCATGAGGACTATGTAAGATAATGAAAAAGATGATTTGAATTATCTGTGATAGTTTTTAGTACTTTAATGACTTCTAGCATATATAGAATATAGGTAGTTTTAGGAAATTTCTAAGATGTACACTTATTTAATGAACATTGTATATCAAACGTTGCTTTTAAAAGATTTTATTATTTTTAATTATAACTTTTTTCATTATAGAAACTGTGAGAAAACCAATCCACGTGAATATGCATAGAGATGTAAAAATGCCCCTAAGAAAGCATAATTTAGAACTTCCAATGACACCTCACTGTGTACCATCTAACCTCTGCATTGATGATATAGACAACAGGTATGTTTTATCAAGCTGGTATATTATTTAGGTATTTCAACGGGTCATCATCAGTACTGTTTTATTCATTAGAAAATATGCAGAGGACTTTTCTTCTAGCTCTAGTTTTTGTTTGGCTGTTAACAGTATTATTAAACCATTAAGACTTTTATCAAATGAGCTAATGTCCATACTAAGTGTTTTGTGTGCATAGTTTGACTTTCCTTATCCTTAAAATGTTTCTCTAGTAATAATACAATTTTTAAAAAATTTGAGAATGACTTAGAGTTCTGTATGTTTTCATGTATTTCTATAGAACAGTATGAGTTTTAAATATATGTAAAAAGGTAGTCAAATTTATTATCAGCTTTTTTTTTTTAACCTTACATTTTTCTTTTCATTTTTATATACTGTCAAGACTAGGCAGCAAGAAAGAACTTGCCCCAGTTCAGGTGAGACTTAAAATTTTTTTTAAGTTACTTTAACAATTGTGGAATGCTACCAAATGATAGAAATTTTTCAAATATCAGGGAAAATTATTCTTTAAAAAATTTTTTTACAGTCCTTAAAAATTATTTTTAAAGTTTTCAATATATAGAACTTATACCTTAGGTATATTTTAACTGATTGCTTAAAGAAACCCTTTGGAGTTCTGGTAATGTAGATTAGGCCTGTGTGTACATAACATTTGTTATTGATGAGCTGCAAAAGATAATTCATTTGGGTATTCCTGCTTTGGGTTTATGTGATCATTGAGAAATTCATCTCTTCTAGCATAGTGACCATATGATTTTATATCAAATTGTGATTTTCAACATTTACACTGATAATAATAATCTTGGGAGATTATTTTTCTTTCAAGTATTGCAGATGATTTTTTTAGTAAATAAAATTTTAATCAATTAGAAAATATATAGATTGTGATTAAACCTTGAAATTTTAAGATCCAATGCTATATTATAATATATTTTTTAAAGATTTATTTATTTTAGAGAGAGAGAGAGCACGGGACTGGGAGGGGCAGAGGGAGAGACAGAGGGAATCTTAGGCAGACTCTGTGCTGAGTGTGGAGCCTAACACGGGGCGCAGTCTCACGAGACTGAGATCATGACCTGAGCCGAAACCAACAGTCAGATGCTTAACTGACTGTGCCACCCAGGTGCCTCAGGTCCAATGCTATATTATTAATTATTCTTTCTTTGCTTTGAATTGCCAAAATTAAACTGCATGAATGGCAATGATACTAAAATCTCTTGGAAGTCTTTTTACCTGAATTGTGGGTCCGTGAAACTCAGATTTCTTGTCATTTGGAGATGGCATGAAGCTTGGAGGTTGAGGGGACCAGTTGTGAGAAAGGCAGATGGAAAGGAGCTCTTCAGTATAATTTTAGTTGATAACCTCTCTTGTCTTAGTAAGTCCTCTGAATTACTGATGACTTGCTTTTCCTTGGAGCTTTTTCTGCAGTCTGTGACCTTTTTCATTCCTATTTTGACTTTCCTCTTCTCAAGTTTATATATTTTAGCAGATCAAGTGGTTTTATCTACTTTTCCTATAGTTGTTACAAGTCATGGACTCATATAGAATGTTTAAACCTCAGTTCAACAGAATAGAAAATTGTAGTTTCGCTCAACCATCTTTTTCAGCAGAATTATCTTCTAACAGGAATATTACAAAACAAAATGTCATTCTCAGAATAGCACCTAGTCCTCAGAAAGTTGCATGTGAAAAAAAGCAGAATGAGCAGATACATTTGAATCACTAGTCTTAGCATTTTATATCATTGTATTTTTATGATATGCTCTTTTTTTCTGTTCTTATGGATTTAAAAAATACTAGTTGTGAATTGCTATAGACACAGCCAAATTAGGGTATCAGTTAAGTATAATAATTCCTCTTTGGTCAAAATTTATTTGTCTGCTCTGTAGAAGATTATGAATCCAAAAATTGGAATCTTTTTAAAAAATCTTTGAAATCATCATTCTTTTATAAAATTACTGATAGTGAAATTGAAAATAGCTCAGTGTGTTTATATAATAGTTGATGATTGTAATCACAGTAAATAACTAGTTGGTGATGTCATGGTGGCCCCAATAGTCATGATATGGAAAGGGCCCTGTGAATTGCAGTATATAATCTCAGTGATGTCGTAGTAGTCCGTTAAAGAATGAGTTGTGACGGTTTGATTCTTTTTATGATTTGACAGATGACAACTGGTTATATGCACTTGAATTAAAACTATACAAATGTGTTTATATAGATAGAGATGTGTAGTACTAAAATATTGTTTAGTCATTGTATTTTCTAAAGTTAAAAATCTAAAAAATCCAGATTTTAAAATTCTGAAATATATCTGCCATGAACTATAAAAAGTAGTCATTTTATTAGATTATATAGAGTTTAAAAAATAAATAAGTAAATAAAATTATTATTATACTAATGTATAATGGTAGTGGGGAAAATGGTTATAAACATGGTGTCTTGTTAATGGGAATACTCAGTTTTGAATTTCTTCCATTTTTAGCATGCATTGGTTTTATGCCGTATTTATGTATTTATCATTTATAAACAAATTTATAATTTACAAATTTTATAAGTTATGATTACACATGGTACATTATATATAATATATAGTGATATCAATGATATTCAGTTTTATGAAAGTATTTATGAAAGTATGTTTTCTGTTTTTCAGAGAAGAGAAAATAAAGTATTATATTTCCAGTGATAGATGTTAGCCTTATTAATTTAAGGACCCATTAACTTTAGAATGATGCAATGAAAAACATTTAGTTATTCAGTTTGTATTTTATAAGACTAAAATTTGCATCCTAGATAGTTTATAGGATAGAGAATGTGTAACTCTCTGTAATCTCTACTTAAATAATCTCCTACTTTTAGGCTGCAGGTTAATGATTATCTTCAGAGGGGTAAATAATGTTTGTTTGTTTTAAAGATTTTATTATTTTGTCAGAGAGAGAGAGAGAGTGTGTGCTCACTTGAGCACAAGCAGAGGGATTGGCAGGCAGAGGGAGAAGCAGGCTCCCCGCTGAGCAGGGAGCCCAATGCAGGACTTGATCCCAGGGATCTTGATCTGAGCCGAAGGCAAACACTCAACGACTGAGCCACCCAGGAGTCCCAGTAATGTTATACTTTTTTTTTTTTTAATATTTTATTTATTTATTTGACAGAGAGATTGATAGTGAGAGAGGGAACACAAGCAGAGGGGAGTGGGAGAGGGAGAAGCAGGCTTCCCGCTGAGCAGGGAGCCCGATGTGGGGCTCGATCCCAGGATCCTGGGATCATGACCTGAGCCGAAGGCAGACGCTTAACGACTGAGCCACCCAGGCGCCCCCCAATAATGTTATACTTAATACACAGAAGAGAAAATTAAAAAGAAAGGCTGATGTTCCTGTTCAAGGTGTAGTGGCACATTGTGAAGTATTAGAAAAGTGTTTAATTGCTTATTTGGAGGGATTTCAAGAAAAGTGAGAATTAAAATGAAACTATAAAATACAACAGAAAATGAGTTCAAACAACAGGTTAGAAGAAAAAGTGGGTTGGGGCTCACTGATCCCTAGAGAAGTTAATATTGAGCCAACATAAAGTATTCTCTTCTCTTTTGGTTTGTTTGTTTCTCACTTCATGGGATGACTTTGTCTCTGTACCTCTGTCACTCTTTCTCTGAGGCTGAGCTATGAGATGTATTACCAGACTTTATTTCCAGGTCTCCCTGACTTTGGACTCCCCCCTTTTTTCCCCTAAGACTTTCAATATCTCTTTTTGTCTTCTCTTCTTTTTTTCCAATTTTGTGTCATTGATTGTTTTTGGACTTCTCATTTCTGTTTCATGGCTAGTAAATAAAATATGTTACAGATATAAATTATTATTGCTGGATAGATTAGTGTGGGCCACTATAACATCTTACAGTTATGTGGTACCTTCCACATTAACAAATGGATTACCTCATCTGTTTTCCACAAGTCTTTCCATACGTTCCCCATTTTGCACTCAATGATACTGATATTCAGAAAGATTAAAGGAACGTTCTTTAAAATTACTCAGTAAATGGATAAAACAGATAAATACAACTGTTTTTTGGGGAAAAATTACTTTCTTTCAGAGATCATTTGCTCAAGATCCTGGTGTCCTGGGTATTATATATATGTATAAGTTATTTATAATTATAATATATTGTTTATAATTAATAATATATTTTAAAATTTTATTTAATTATATTTATAATATATATTAGTTATAATTAATAATATATGTATTTTAACTTCTGAGGAAATGGTTAGCACATCATAGTATCAATTCTGTTATTTTGACAATCATTTAAATATTGATATTGCTTTGACTGTTAGCACAATATTTGTTTTGTTTTCAATAAGGACACAGTTACTTTGTTTTAAACTAGAAAATTCATTTTTTTTTGCATATGGATATCCACTTAGATGACATTTTATGGTAAATAATTGAAATTGTATACATGTATGTACATTTACCATTTTGGCAGGTTCTTCTTTCTTTTTCAGCTCAGTAAAGTTAATTATTCTAATTCCTTGGTTTCCAAATTAAATGAAAATCAAGATGCTCTCAGTCCAACATATAAAACAGCACAATTTAGGTCATTATTCGAAAGATTAAACAGGTAAGCAAAGATTTTTGAAGATTTTATTTATTATTTATTATTTATTTATGAGAGAGAAAGAGAGTGTGAGAGAGAGGGAGGGGCAGGCTGAGCTGAGCAAGGAACTCGATGCGGGACTCGATCCCAGGACCCTGGTATCATGACCTGAGCTGAGGGCAGACGCTTAACCGACTGAGCCACCCAGACATCCCAAGCAAATATTTTTGAAGGAAATAAAGAAGTTGCAGCATTCTTTCTTTGAGTTATTAATTCAGTTTTAATGGACAAATATTTTTTAGAAATGTAGACAAACCTAAGTAATACTTCTAGAAAAAAAATACTAGAAGTTAAATGTAGCATTTAATTAACAATTTTAAGTAATTATTTTCTAATGTGCACATCTACTTTTCATTCATTAAAAAAATATTTTGAGCCAAGGTGCATTGCATTTGTTTTATAATCTCCATGAAATACTAGTTCTTTTTCTGTATCATAAACATACTGATTTATTTTTCTTATTTATGGTAGTTGATCAGTGCCCCCTTTTATTTTCTAGTTGTCTGTATATAAATCCTGGTTCATTGTTTTAAAATGCATTAAACTTATGAAACCAGTTTGAATCACTCCTAGTAATCATGGTGAGAAACCTTGACGCTGTAATCCTATCCCAGTCTTTGTCATTTTAGTAAATGACACGACTATTCACTCAGTAGCCAACACCAAATAAAAGTCCTTGATTGCTTCCTTTTCTTCAACTCCCAATTATCCATTTCATCAACAAAGTTTTGACAATTCTGTATTCTAATAAGCTTTAAAGTTACCTATTCACCTTTCCACCTCTATAGGTTCCATCCCAGTCTTAAGCCACTACTGCCTCTTGCCTGGAGAATTGTAATAACCATGTAACAGTTCATTTTGTTTTCTGTTTTCCTGAGATCCATTTTTTTTTTTTTTACAGCTCTATTAATGTATAATCAGCATGCAACAAACTGAATTTATCTAAAATGTGCACTTTGATAAGTTTTGACCTGTTCAAATATAATGAGCATATTCATCATCACCAGTAGCTTCTTTGGGCATCTTTGGGCATCTTTGTAATCTCTTCCTCTGGCCATTTCACATCCCTTACTCTCATCCCAAGGCAACAGCTGGTCTGCTTTCTGTCACTGTTGATTAATCTGTATTTTCTAGAGTTTTATGTAAGTGACATCATATACTTATGTTCTCTGCAGAAATGGGGAGACACTAGTCAGAGTGTACTAACTTCCAGTTATAAGACAAATAAGTTGTGGGGATCTAATATACAACATAGTGACTGTAAATAATACTTCATTACATACTTGAAATTTGTTAATACAGTATCTCATAAGTAGAGTCACCACATATACATACAAAGGTAACTATATGAGGTGATGCATGTGCTAGTTAGCTTGATTGTGGTAATCACTTCCACAAATTATACTTACATGAAATCATCATGTTGAACACCTTAAATATATACAATTTATTTGTTTATTTTTATTTGTCAGTTATATCTCAATAAAGCTGGGGGCGGGGAGGATCATTTCAAACATACTGGAAGGTTTTCTCACATTCTTCCAAGTCTATAGCTCCCAACAGTAATCACCATTCTGCCTCCTGTCACCATACATTAATCAAGCCTGTCTTGGAACTTCATATAAATGGAATTTTAGACAGTGGTCTTCTTTTGGTATGGCGATTCATCCATGCTGTTGCTTGCTATTCCATGTATCAGTACTTAATTCTTTTTCATTTCTGCTTGTTACTGCACTGTATGAATATTATATAATCTATTTTTTTAAGTATAGCTGACATACAGTATTTCATTAGTTGCAGGTGTACATATAATATTCTGTTCTTTTTTTTTGTTGTTATTGTGGAGTTGGGGATTTGTGGATTCCACATTTGTGAATTTGCCTATCTGCTAAATTTATTTGTAACTCCAAAATCAATACTTGTGGTACCTGAGCAGTTATTCGCCAACATGTGCTGAGTAGCAAAAAACTCGAGTTGCCTGAGAAACACACTTCCAGTCAAGGTGGGGCAGGATAACACCTTCCTTCTTTCTTGTTTCAGTTCTGATACGGTAAATAAGCTTCCGTTGCACAGCCTATTTAGTGTTATGGTCTTCACATTTTTGAGCTTTTTGGTGGCAGTCTTTCAGTTTCAAGTGGACTTCAGGCTGGTGTATAAGTGCTGTCCAGTTTCCTAAGTACCAGGAGACTGCGATGCACCTTACAGAGAACAGTAGCAGACAGGCTGGGTTCAGGCATGACTTACAACACTGCTGGCCATGAGTTCAATGCGGACAAATCAACAACGTATCAATGCAAGTGGTCTTGCAGTGGCACCTCTGTGGCGCGGGCTCGGACCCTCTCCTTGTGTGGCTCCCAGTGAGGCTGCCCCTCCACACGGCCGCCGGGGGGCCGTGGCCTCGCCACCGTGACTCAGCTTTCCCGCCGTAATATTCTATTCTTAATGGACATCTGGGATAGTTCAAATTTGGGACTATTATGATAAGAAAGCTGCTGTGACATTAAAAAAAAATAGGAGAAACACTTCATGCTCATGGATTGGAAGAATCACTAATTTTAAGATGGAAATTTTCCCCAAATTTCTGCCATTCCCTAGCTCCTGGCAGTTCTACTCCTTGCTTCTTGGAATGTCACTTTTTAGAGTCCACATATAGGTGAGGTCATAATGGTATTCGTCTTTCGGTGTCTGGCTTATTTTACTTAGCATAATGTCATCCATATTCATCCATATTGTCACAAATGGCATGATTTCCTTCTTTTTTTATGGCTGAGCAATATTCCATTGTATTTAATCTTCTTTAACTTCTCTTAGTGTATTGTATTATGCTTTCAATAAATAAGCCTTGTGCTTCCTTGGCTGAATTTATTCCTAAATATTTTATTCTTTTTATGCTGGTGTGAATGGTATTTATTATTTTCTTAATTTCATTTTTGGATTGTTCATTGCTAAAATATAGGAATATTTTTTTATATTGATCTTGTCTCCTACGACCTTGCTGAACTCATTATGAGTTGCTAGTGGTTTTATACCATACTGGATTATGTTGTCCATATATACAAGTATTTTTACCTCTCTTTTTTCAGTCAGCATGCCTTTTACTTCTTTTTCTTTTGAACTACAGTGACTAGAACCTCTAGCACAGTGTTGAACAGCAAGCAGGCAGGCAAGAGTGGGCATGCTTGCATTGTTTAAAGAAAAAGCATTTCACTATTATGTTAGCAGTAGGTTTTTTTGTAGGTGTCCTTTATCAGGTTTAGGAACTTCCCTTCTATTCCTAGTTCATTGAAAGTTTTTATCATGGACTTTGTCAAATGTTCTTTCTGTGTCCCTTGAGATTATCATGTAGTTTTTTCCCCTTTATTCTATTAATATATTGTATATTATTTTATTTTCAAGTGTTAAACCATCTTGGGTTCCTGGGATAAAAGCTGTTTGGTCATGGTATATAATCCTCTTCATATATTGTAGGATTTGGTTTGTTATTATTTGGTTGATGACTTTTATGTCTCTATTCATGAAAATTGGTGTGAATTTTTTTTTCTTGTAGTGTCTTTGGTGTCAAAGTAATACTAACCATACAGAATAAGTTGGAAAGTGTGTCATCCTCTATTTAATGAAGGAATTTGTGGAGAATTGGTATGGTTTTTTTCTTTAAGTGTTTTTGCATCTGGGCTTTTCTTCCTGGGAAGACTTTTAACTACTAATTTTTTTTATGTCTGTTCAGATTTTCTAATTTCTTGAGTCAGTTGTAGTAATGTATGTTTTTCTAGGAATTTATCCATTTCATCTAAGTTGTGTGATTTGTTAGCATAAAATTGTTTATAGTATTTCCTTGAAAACCTTTTAATTTCTGTAAAGTCACTAATGATGTCCCTGATGAGCAGGGAGCCTGATGGGAGACTCCATCTCAGGATTCTGGGATCATGACCTGAGCCAGGCAGATGGTCAACCGACTGAGCCACCCAGGCATCCCTGATGTCCCTTCTTTAATTCCAGATCTGTGCCTTTGCTCCTTTTTTTCTTGGTCACTGTAGCTAAAGATTTGCTAATTTTATTGATATTTTTAAAAAACTAAGTTTTGTATTTCTTTAGTCTTCTCTATTATATTTCTGTTCTCCATTCCATTGATTTCTGCCTTAATGTTTATAATTTCCTTCTTCTGCTTGCGTTGGGTTTCGATTGCCTTTTTTTTTTTTTTTGGTAGATTCTTAAAGTATAACCTTAACTTATGATTTGATATTTTCTTTCTATTTAGTATAGGCATTTAAAACTATAAATTTCCCTCAAACCAATGCTTAGAGACCAACCAATGATTACTTGGAGGTTGTGTTTAAACATCTTGAGCCAATAAGGCTTCTTTTTGTGTGCAAGACCTCACATTCAGCCAGGGTTGAGTACATACCTGAGGCCCTCTCCTGAGTGTGTATACAGACTTACACATGTGTGCAGCCTTTCAGACCGCTGGGGTGTTTTGCAATTTATTAGAGCTCATTATGCCTGTTTGTTTTCTGGATCTCTCTATGAAATTTCTGGATGTTTCTTTTGCTTGCTCCAAATATTGCAGCCCCAGTTAGTTGCAGTGTTGGGCTTTCCTGATGGTTTGCCACCAAGGTAATGATTACCTTTGACAAATTCCTGGGCATGGGGCTCCTCTGTCTCACTTCTAGACTACTGAGCCTTAGTAGAGCTACCAGCCATGGAGTAGGGGTGCAAGGAAGGTAGCTTCCTGAAGCTAAAACTCCACAGACTACCACTGTTCCTGCTAAGGTTTAGTAGTTTTTCTTGAAGTACTGCTTCTCAGTTTATTGCATGCCTTTGTTACTCTCCAGATTTTGAAATGATTGTTTTTGCAAGTGTTATCTGCTTCTGTCATTACTTTTGGGGGGCAGGATTTATTTGCCAGACTTTCATGCATCATTCCTGAAGTCCTGCCCCACACTGATTAATTTTTATATGTTAAGTGA